CAACATATGTGACTTGTACAATAGTTGTTGGAGAGCACAGCTCCTGCACTTTTTGAATCATACCCTGTTACAACCCATGCAGCAAAGCCATCTGGATTGCTAAATAAAATAATGAAAAGGATACTGAATATCTGGAAGACTGCAGGCCTGGCAGAGGGTTGACATACTTTACATTTCAAGGTAATGATCTGCAGTTTTACGCACTATCTTATGGCCACTACCTAATTGCTAAAGACAGAAATACACCATCACCCAATATGCCTAATCAGTTATGATTACAGGAGAATTTCTCAAGGAGAATTTCTTACAATCAAGAACATGATTTACTAACTAATTACAATAGAAAGCAGTCTCCCTGTTTTCGCATTTGAATTCAGCAATGTGTTATTTCTTAGTAGCAAACATTTAATACTAAAAATTAACTTCTGAGGTTCCACATATATCTCATTTTCAGAAACAGATCTCAGTCAGTTTTTAAATCACAACCTTTTAATGTATCTCAGAAGCAGGCCAGTCCAATACTACTAGATGATTTCAGTTTCGTATTCAAAATGATAATCAGATCTAATTCATATCTCAATGTGTAAGCAAAATGCTCATTAGTAAAATAAAATTCTCAAATCAAAACTGATCGGAAGTATTCTCATTCAAGTAAATACATCAGACTACTTATACTGTTTATGAAAAATTGACAACTTTGAGTAAAGAAAAAAAAAGGCTGAAATTTTATGCATCTGAATAATTTACATGTTAGAATCTGGGGATTTAGTTGAGCTGCATGATAAACTGAAGGAATGCAAACCCACTCAGGTACCAACTGCAGGATGAGTTTCAAACAGGTCTCTGGAAAATAACACTGTTAGAGTGAATCATTGGCTCAAACATACCACTGAGGACAAGGTAAGAGGTAACCCATAAATCAGTAAATCTCACTTTAACATCAAGTCCATGCACTTTGTGCAACTGCTAGCTACGTTGTGTTTGAAAAGGTCTATATGCAATCACAGTCGCTGTACTGTATCTCGCAGGCTTCTCCCAAAATATGTGCTTTGAGTAGATCAGACCCATTACACAATAAACGTACAACTATGGGTACTAAACCTGCTCTTTACCATAAAAGCTCAGCTTAACCAAAATGCATTAAAGAGAACTAAAAATACAAACCCAGATGTATACACTTCAATTTGATTTTTTTTTTTTTTACCCCTAATATGCTTAAAACCTGCTTGTTGAATGTTCTTGGAATCCAGATGCACAAACACGCATAGGAGATCCAAATGTTGCATTTTTGCGTGGTCCTAAGTTTATTTCCCAACATACATAATTATAAAATGTGCCTCATAGCTCTACACCTCAGTGTCAACATTAACTCCAGAAAAGTTTAGGAAAATATTCAGTATAAAATTCAGGTTAAGTAGTTACAACTCATTTAATTAAAGGAATTTCTTCAACTTGCAAAATCTAAGGTATGTGTTGTTTGGTTATATTTTCCATACCCCAGTACTGTCACATTAGAATAGCTTTCATTGTTTTAAGTGTGCCATTTACCTCATGGGGTTAAAAAAGAATATCCACCACCACAGTATTTAATTAACAAGTTTTCATTATTTGTGCCATGTCTAAATTGAAAATTGAGCCAATGTAATGAGGATCAGCTACTGCTCACTCCACTTGGTTGTTTTGTGGACACCATATTTATAGTCATTCCTACATCACACTAACACTCCGGTACATGCAGGTAATGTGCAACTGCCAATATTAACAGCATTAGTACAGTGATGAAATTGGAAATTCAAGTGTTTCTCAATAAAGGCAGAGCAAAAAGTTGATTTTGACTGTATACTGCTTAATTAGAAGTGGCTCTCCCAAGGGAAAGTACAATCCCTGACATTTCACCTGGGGCAAATTCCAGGATCCTGTACTAAAAAGCTCATCAAGGGAAATGAGGCACATCCTGTTTACTTTTCAGCTCACTTAGCTCATTAACAGCTATGCACACAGACACCTCACCAAGTTTGGGGTATTTCAGGCATTTCTGCAATACAGGTTTGTAGCCATATTTATTAATATAACTTGGGGGGTGGAGGAAGGCGCTTGGGTTTGGGGGATGTTTAGACTTTGGCGTGTCTGCTTTTCTTTTTTTTTTTAACATCTGTGCGTTTAAAATAAGTTATGGTCTCAAAAGAATATTACTCGATTCAGATTCTTATTCAGTAAAAGGTTTAAACCACAGATGAAACAAGGAACTCAGAGGAGTGGACATTGTGACACAGTCCTCTTTCTAATATCCCTCTAGATACCTAGATAAATGTCTTGCTTGTAGCAAGAGTTCCAGCTTTGTTTTTAAATAATGATCACTTTTTTTTTTGTTGTGTTTCCTGAAGAGACACTTAAGAAACTAGGATGCTTTAACATCACATTATTTAGTGCAACAAATCTGTTACTTCCCAGTGCAAAGTCAATGGCTAGCCCAAGATCTGACACACAAAAAAAAACCCAAAAAGATTATTTTGCCTTTTCTCTAAAAGCAGTAGTCCCTTTAAATACATCCTTCTTGATCTGAACGCAGGCAAAACCACACAAACAAAAATCCTTTCCAAAAGAAAAATGTAACACGTACAAAACTTAATTAGTACTACAGGCCTAATGCTCAGTATTTGAGCACCAGCATTTCAGAGAGTTTGTACTCCTGGACCATACCTCAAACCTCTCTCTTTTCCCTTCTTGTAGCCCTAGTGCTCTGATGAAACATGTACAATTACAGAAACAAACATAGTCACCATTTGATTTTATTAAACAGAAACTCATTATGCAGATGGAAATGCTACCCAGCTTCATCAGTCCAGATAACACATAGTTACATTAAAGGCAGCCAAGAGCGTTGGAGCCTTGGGGAATGCACTGCCTGCGTTAGGGTCACTGAGACAGCTGACAGCAACATGCAATGCAATGCTGTGAGTAACAGTTTTGTAAGCTGATGAATAAATCCCATTTGCTAATATGTGACTATGTAAATTTTTCTCAAAACTGAATGAAGAGATGGTTTGCTTTCCCTTCCCACTAAGTTTTATTCTGCTGAGGCCCATGGCATACTCACTAGAGACTCCTCAACAGCTGTTTTTTCTTTTAAGCTTTCCTTGTCACTTTGGGATGTGAATTTTTGCTGATAAAGTGTAATAGAAGCTGTTTCCTGCTATGCCACAATGAAGCAGATGTTGTAAAAGTTGTGTAGACCTTAATCTGGTCTTTGAGCAAAACCTCTTTCAGGCTAACTTTTTTTCTGTCACAAAAACATACATTATATTTGTTTTCCTGCTGGTCAATTGAAGTGCGCATCAAATGAACATTTTAACTGAGTGTTTTTGGCAAAGAGTCCCAGAAAGCAGCAGTGTGAAAATGAAAATAAAAACTGCATATCACAGAAAATAGAACAGGAGGGTGCTCAAGTAGTCCTTGAGTTCACCTTACTACTCCCAGGCACAGGCATGAATGCCTATGGCACTCCTGGCAGATGTTTGTCAAGCCTGCCCTTGCAAAGCTGAAGTGATTCCATAGCAGCCCTAAGCAATCTATTCCAGTGACTAATTATCCTTTCAATTATAATGTTTCCCATCCTATCTAACTTCTAATCTCCTTTGCTTTAATTTAAACTCATCAGTTCTTGTCCTGTCCCCAGTGGACATGAAAAACCAGATTATTCTGTTCCTCCAAACAGCAGCCTTTTGCCTACATCTTCTCAGCCTTCTTTACTTAACCTCTAGACTAAACAAACCAAATTCTTTCAGTTCTTTTTCATAGCTTGCATTTTCTTCTATCATCCTTATTGGTTGCCTCTGGTCTCTGTCCATCTGATGCACATCTTTCCTGCTATGTAGCATCCAGGGTTAGATATGCAGCCTAGGTGACACATGAAACACGAAGGTTTCCTCTTGCATTTGACATGCAATGCTTGTGTAACATATGTTTTTACAGCTGATGCTTATTATTGGTGTTCTCCCCCCCATTTTCATTTTGATACAGCTGGTTCAAGATTAGAAGCCAGATGAACCAGTTGGATTGATGTGCAGCTGAGTTAGAGCCTCAGTAAATATTCCTGCTCTCACTGCAGATGCAAGTAGCTTATGGACCACAATGGAAAGTAGTGAAATCTATTCTTTACACACACACGCACACATGCACAATTATTTATATATATTTCAAATCTCTAACACATTCTGCCTTCCTCAGTTCTGGCACTGGAAATAGCCTTAATGCACTCTTACAAGCTGCAAAAATAACCATAATTTCTGTATTCAGAGGCCAAGTGCTCAAAGGAGCTCAGCAGTTAACTGCTTCCTAGTATGCAACTGCACATTTATGTTCAGTATGGGCATAAATTTTTTTAACTGTGGCTTTTTACAGGCAGATACCTTCTCACACTTTGATGAGTTATGTTTACTATGTTTGCTAGCATACATTATTTTTCCTAGCTCACCCACTTTGGGATGATTCCTAAATAACTCCTCAAGATATTGCCTGTTTTCTCAACAGCTGGTAAGCTGATACTTCCAAGCTTTTCTTGCCAATGTTTTTGCTTATCTGCTCTCCTGTGTTCTCAGTACTCTCGAGTTCCTGACTTCTATTTCCAACCACCTTATTTTCCTACATAGTACTTCAGAGCAGTCAAAGAGGTTAGACTCTTGAGGCTTGACATTTCCTTATCTTTGTCATACTTCTCCCTAAATTTCTGTCTAAAATGAAAGTTTTGGAGAGGCTACCACAGACATGGCTGCACTTCCTTGCACCCTTCATGTCCTTTCCTTTGTCTTTCCCAATGTTACAGTAAGGTTGCCAGAGTCAAATGTGTTATTTAGAACATATACACAATAGAACTTTTGGGTTTCATTTTAAGAAACCATGCAAGTTCTGCATGGAAAACAAAGAAGGTACCCCACAGCAAGAGTTTTTTTCTGTACAGAAAAGGAATAGCTGCCGCCTACTCAGTGACCACATCTCCTTACCCAAGCAAAGGAACAGGAAGCATCACCATGAGGGCAACCTCCCATTTCGGGTCACTACACCAGCCAGCCAGCAGTGGATGTCTACCTGACTCACTAAAATAGAAAATTATTGAGCAGAATGGTAACAATTAATGCAATCACAGAGCCTTTCTTTTACTTTAGAAAGAGACAAACTCTCAAACTCTAAATGCTGGAGTAAGCGACCATCTGGATCTGAAATTAAGGGTAAAATTTGACTTCTCAATTCTATCTTAGTAACTTCAGGAAAAAACCCTTCAAGTTAGCTTTTAGTGATGTACACGATCAGAGGACACTAACAGGTACATGGCACATTTGATGCTTTTACCTTGTTTGCGTCACCATGAAGAAAGACCTGCACAGCAACGTGCATTTGGTATATCCTGAGTCATGAACCAGGAAGGAAAGAATTGCTCAGTTCCATCTTGAAACAAAAATGGAAACTAGTCTAACCAATCAGAAGAAATTCCTGAATTATAGTTTAGGACCTGAAATGACATCTTAATGTCTCATTGGAGACATCAGAAAGGAAGAAAAAATACAGCTTATCCTAGAACTGGAAGAGCCAGTCAATGCAGATGTCTTCAAAAGGCCCTCAAAAAAACCCCAGAATTGCATCTGTTTCGTTGTTGATGCCTCATCTATTTCTCTCTCTCCGTATTCACCATTCTCTTACCAGTGAATGCCTTAACAGCATATATGCTGTGGGACATAAAACAAAGCTGCAAATCCTTCACTCGCATATTTTCCCCTGTACTTTCTCAAACCATGCCATGAATAAGCTTCTTGCAACCATTTACCGTTAAAAGAATTCATTTGCCTTTGTAACCAAGAAAACAAAACAAGAATTATTCATTTGCTTTCACATGCCAGAAAAATGTTGCAGTACAAAATCCATCCACATGAATCAGAGACAGAGATTCTTTGAAGGCTTACTATAAAAATCTGCATCATACCATGCTACAGCTAAGTGTAAGTCCTGTAGGATATTATTACCACTTTTGAAAAAATATTTCTATTGCAAGAAGTCAGTTACCTAGTACAATGTTCCCACCAATACTTGTATTGAAACAGAAAATAAACAGTACATGAATCTGAGGATAAAGCAAATGAGTCATTAACCTAATCCAGTGACATAAAAGATAATATAAACTGAAACTACAAAATACCATGCATCTCTATACATATATGCTATATACCTCTATCTGCAAGCCTGAAATCCCATTTCCTGCAAAGTCACCAGCACTTTTCATTGACTTTTGCTGGTACAGAAGTTCACTTAATAAAACAAGCTAAAAATTATGAAGGCAAGCTCCCAATCACCTGCTGAAGAAAACAAGAGAGCAGACCAGAGGCAAAATTGAGAAAATCGCTGCATTTTAGAAGACAGATCAAGATTCAGAAAAGAAAACACATATAGGGGAGGGACCCCTGGGTTCTGCAGGTGACTGACAGCAAGCAAAAAAAAAACCCTTAAAATCAAACATACAATCAACAAACAAACTCCTCCCCCAAAAAAACCAAAAAAACCTCCAAATACAACAAACAATAAATATGCATATACTATTATTTTGCTTTAAAACATATACTTCTTGTGTAACTAAAATAGAAACAATTGACTTTTGTAACCCTGACAACTTGGAGAATCTGAATTTTCAACTCAAAGATCTTGCTCACAAAGTGCACCTTTTTCCACCTCAGGAGCAGAGGCTGGGCACAGAGATCAGCACTGGCTCAAGAAGATTATGGCAGCTGGGCAAAGAGGTCCCATTTTGTTGAAAATGAATAGACAGCCTGTGACCTGTGAGCACACTAGAGGAATCAAAGTGCTCGTCTTCCCCCCTTTTCAACAACAGGATTCATAAAACACCCAGAGGCTGTTATGGCAGGAGGCAACCAGAGCAGCCTCGTGAGCATCCAGCTGCAGGGAGTATTCCCCCAGCTGTGTGACAATATCCCTTTAGAAATGACAGCCTTCCATGAAGTAATTATAGCTAAAATCTTATAGTCTTGCTGGAACAAGCTACTACCGTTGTAAATCTCAAGTGAGATAACGAGCACTAACTCTACTTATCACTGACATTAAACCCCTGGTCTAATTGGAGCAGACAGCCTATGCAGATTAGCACAATTGGATCAAACTTATCCTGTGGAAAGCAAGGCCTTTTAGAGGTAACATGAAGTTTTCTTCCAGGGAACACCATGGAGTTAGACACAGTGTATTAAAGCTGCTATTTCTTTTTTTATTATTACAAGAGTTGTAGACTGAATATGAACCAGTTTTGACTTACACAGAAATAAAAACAGGCATTCTCAGGATATTTACTACTTCAGTTTGTGCACATCATTTCTTTCCCAGTTTATTATTTTAAATGATAATTGTATATTTCAAGGAAGTTTAAAAGGAGGCCACTTAAAAAGAAGTATTCTTTTCTTCTCTGAAATGAATCATGTTTCACTCTCTTACATACATAAACTGTTTAAAAACTATACACAGAGTGAAAAATAAGATAAAGAATATCAAATCACTTTGGTCAGACTTCTCAAGGGTAGATTTGCTGAGAAATAGGAAATCTAAAAGAATTAAAGGACTGGAACTTCGATGCAACAGTTCCTATTCACAGGTTAGTAAAGGAATTTAGCTGGTACAGTAATCAATACTGTCTGCAGGCTTCTCCACTTCTAAGATACCCTACACTTGTTTAAAGCACTTCTACAAAGCAGAGCTTAGTACTTTTGCTAGTGAACATTACCACTGGTGCCAACAAGAGGAATTCCTGCCAGCTTTTCTAGCTCTCAAGGTAAACCATACCAGTCTGTTGAAGACAGTATACATATAAAGAAGACTTTCAGCCATCTCATCAATTACCCAGGCAGTATTTGATTGTAGGTTAATGCTCAGCAACAACTCACTAGGTAAAACCTATTTCTTGTCCATATTCTCTGCAGTACCACTGACACAGCAATCATTGCAGGCACAATTTTAGATATTTCACATGAAGGAAGAATACCATAGTGCTTTCATGTTGCACAAGGAGCCTGTTTCTTTAGGTGTCTCAAAAAGAAATTGGGATTGAAGATTTCTTTCATGAGGCTACAAAGATCTGCCTTCCAGCTCTGACCAGGTGGTCCTGGAAGGATTTAAGGTCATCCTGACCTACTTTCCAATTTTCAGTTTTACTTAACAATCCACATTTATTACTAACATTATAGCTCACTTGAAATTCATTGGATTACCATCAGCCATTAACTTGGGCAAGCAGAAGAGGCTGATTAAGTATTTCAGGTTTTAAGTATTGAAGAAAACACAAGTTGTTAAATTCTGAGATCTCCACACCTACACCAAGCACTGTCATCCCGACAGAGCTTTGCACAGTGGGGAAGAGGAACAAGAGCTCTCCTAGGCACAGCCAATTCCAAGTTTGTGTCCCAAGAAATTACAAGTTTGTGAAAACTGTGATTCTGCTGTGCTTTTCTATCTTCTTGCTCACTTTAAATTACAGTTAAAATTTTAGCTCAGGTTAAACAATAAAACAAGAACCACCATTATTTCCAGTACTGTGGACAACTTCTGTCATTGTAGACGTGATACTCTTAATACAAGCAACGGCAGCCAGGCAAATCACAAGCAGGCAGGTGCTGAACAAGTTTTCTACCATAGGCAGCTTTGCCAGCATATATCTGGCATGCAGTATACTTGCTATTTCTGTCCTGGATGTCTCTAGGGGAGTGACTGCCAAATGAAAAGTACTGTACCAATTTGTGGGGTGGTTTTGTGATGTGCATAAGAGTTCTTGGATAGGTTTAAATTCATACTGACTTGTGCTTTAAGTGCAAATTTAAATTCAAGTATGTCTAAAGGGGAAAGGCTTGCACACTGCTATGCAGGTCTGCCAGCTGGCCTCCCACCATTACTTTATTCTTTTGCTTTTAAAACTAAAGCATGAAGCTTAAAACAATTTTTTTAATATTTAGCATTATAGAAGGTCATGTTCATACAAAGGCCTGCAGAGAGAAAAGCTTTTGAGCAATGGGGTCACTAAAAGTCAGTATATGTAGGAGACATCAGTTGTATTACTTTTTTTATCTCGCCTCTAATAACAATAAACTGGGAATTATCAGGTGGCCTGATAAAGAACAACTGATGTTGAAAATTAAGTTAAATATTAGATATTATGCTAACTATTCTTTGATGAAACAAGAGGAGCGAACAAGACAGTAGTGGTCCCTTCTAGCTTAAAAAATTCTAAGGTGATTTTAAGATGGAAAATTCAGTCCTGCGTGCCAAACACCTGATGCTTTTAACGATACAATTTCAGGGTCTTATTACAGATAACTAGTTGAGCCTCTAAATACAAGGTAACACATAGCTTGCAGTTACTATATTGGATACTTATCTCCTAAAACTACTCTTCCAATTTTTTCCTTCATCCATGGTCTGTCATCTACTGCTTAAAGCTGCTAATTCCATTTTCTTTGGCAGTGTTAGACCTCAGTTACTATATTTATTCTAATGTGGCTTTGTGACCACTGAAACTAGATGGAAAATTCCATCGAGGCCCATGTGGACACACATGACACCACGTACCATGTTACTATAATGCCCCAGGCAATGATCCAGCAGAAATCTAGAAATATTAGCCCTGGTTTCTCCATAAAGCTGATTTAACAGCCACCCATGAAACAAATAACAGACGCATAGCAGAATAAAATAGAAGCCAGCTGAACTCTCACTCAATCTTTCAAGATGAGTAAAGCACACAAGAATCATTACCCTGTCTGAATATTGTATACGATGTTAAAAGGCTTTAAAATCAGAAGCACTTGTTTAAAAGCACATTTAAATATTTACTGTGTTATGTTGTGACCTCTTAACTTGGTGCTTGGCTTGCAGCTCCTGTAACAGATACAGCACTCTTCTACTCTTGGCACATCTGTCGGAGCCCAGGTTCTCCACTCTTATTGAAAAGAAGTTAGAACAAAACCACTCTACTTGGACTATGTTCAGAGTCATTCACTTGGCCTATGGCTTCCATAAACTTCAATTAACTAGGAGAAACAAGCAGCAATTAACTATTTCCCACTACCAGAATTTATTTGTTCATTTATTTTGGAATTGTCTCATTTGCTCTCTCAATAAACTAGGAGCAGGTTAAATTTTTTCCCAAAGTTGCTCTTACATGAAATGCACTTTACTAATGCCAAATTAGCATGATGAGCTCTCTTGGTATAGGACATGTTAACAGAAATTGCTATATACTTGCTTAGTGAGGAAAACCTGCCATTAATGTTGTTCAAATAATCAGAAATTCCATCTTTTCAGAGCCAGCTGCCAAATTTCTTCTTTCCTTAAAATAAACAATGTCTATACTATGCTTGTTTATTATACTTCTAGATACTGCCAAAGTTCGTGTCACAAAGACCTTGTGATTTAAAAGCATTGTGGGAGACACAGCACAGTAACAAATCCAGTGGAGCAGGAAAACAGGTTTAAACATGATAATGTAACAAGCAGCTGGTTAGGAAAGGTTTGGAAGAGGATTAGGAAACACACACTGTTGCTAGAG